AGAAAACACAAGAGCTAGCCATTAGCCTACTGAGATACAATTTCTATGCCACATGAATACTCTAGTATTCCACATCATTCGAAGTTATTTTCTTACTTGAAAACACTATTTCGTTATGTGATTTCCAAATCTCCCATATCATAGCATATGCCAAATCATAATATAACCTCCATAAACCTAGACAAACTAATGGAAAGTTAAGAACATCTGAAAGAGAGTCATGTGATTTATAGGTAAAATCATCACCCACCCCAGAAATCTAAATATCCTATACCAAAGTGAAACTACCACATCACAAGTCATAAAAATATGAGAGGACGACTCAATAGCCACCGAGAAGAAAGGATAAAGAACATCATTGATACCATTGGGATTCTCCTTTTAAGAAGGTTCTCTCTAGCAGGGATCAAATTCTGAAGGTGTAGACAGGAGAAAACCCTAACTTTAGAGGGGGCCTAACTACTCCATATAAGGGATAGAGTTCACCCCACACGAGAATCCTAGATATCTTTAGAAATCTCTCGAGAAAGGAGGAAAGAGTAAGCATATATCATAAAGTAAACACCATCTTTAGCATGACGCCACCACCACTTATCAGGTTGAGCTGAAAGGGTGAAAGAATTGATAACCAATAGAAACTCATAAATTAACTCATATTTATTCTCAAGATGTGTTCTTTGCCACTTAAGATCCCAAAATCATGATTGACCCTTTCACCTACCAACCACCCCCACAAAACAAGCTTTTTGGTTAGAAATAGAGAAAAACCTAGGGAATCTAACTCTAAGCACTACAATAAATTTTCCAGATTGAGACAATAATTTTGACAGGTTTGGACTGTTAAAACCGCCGCAATTTACAATCTACAATGATTTTTATACCTTTGCAGAAATGTGTGTCCCCGGGCTGTTTCACGATAGTTTCCAAAACCGCCACACCAACCGTTGTTATATTTCGCGGTGAGTTAGAGCTTACGTAAATTGGAAATGGCGACGATTACATAACGTCATGAATATCCTTTTTGTTTTCATTGTTGATTGCGATGGTTTGAAATTGTCGTGAACGTGATATCTGGACGTCGTAATTTGATTTATTAATTTTAAATATAATTTATTTGGCAACGGTTTAAAGCGCTATTAATTATTTAACTTTTAATTATTTAATATAATCATTTAAACCATTATTAATTTTTATATATTGTATTGTTTTTTATAATATTTATTTTTATTTAAATTAATATCTATTAAAATATTTTTTAAATATAGTATTATTCTTTTTAATATTAAAAGGGGGTTGACCCCAAATCAAGGGTCACTCTAGAAGGAGGTGAAAAAGTCTGATCCGACTCACTTAAAAAGACCATCATGAAACTAATCAAATGAGTAATCCATTTTAACCCCAAGGAAGGACATCTCACTCCACCAAGGTGATATTAAACAAAGATATCCAACTCTACCACCCTAGTGTGAAGACATTAACATACACCTGTATCTTATGAATAAATATTATGCCAAATACCAGAGTCATCCGAGAGCAGCCACCATCTCCACTTATCTAAGAAGGCCAAGTTAACTAGCCTTAGACCCCAAATACATAACATGCTTGAACTCTTAGGCTTATGCACAACATCCCAATCAACCCAAGCAACGTTAGAGCTTCCTCTAACACCACCCCAAAGAAACCTCCTTTTATTTTCATAATCTTCTTCCACAACTTGGTAGGCATATTTAAAAAATAAAAAAAGAAGATATGAATGAAATTAAGAAATGAATTGAGGAGGATGAATCTCCTTCCTAAGGATACATACTTATGTTTCCAAGAGATGATTCATCTTGAAATAAGACTGCTTAAGGGTTCATGCGTAGAGGATAAATAAAGGATGACTCCTACCAGAAGGCCAATGTATTTGAAAGGGAGAGACTCTGGTTTACAATGGAGGAAATCACAAGAAAGATCTAAGAAGGCGTGGTCAGAATTAATCCCAATGAGAGTGCTCTTAGCAAAAATCACCCAAATCCCATAGGCTAGCTCAAAACCTCATAGAATATCTTTGTTGAACCAGAAATTATAAATGGAAGCTTCTGCCAAAATAGTAGTATAATCTACATATTGAAGATGGGAAACCACCAAATCTGATGCTCCCACTTTAAAACTAGAGAATACATGCAAATCCACCACCTTAGAAAAAATCCACTAAGGCCTTATTCCACCAAGAGAAACAAAAAAAAGGGTCAGGGGTCACCTTGCTTCATCCCCCTTTAATACTTATTTCTTGGATCAGGTAACCATTAACCAAGACCGCAAGATTACCAGAAAAAATACAAGCACAAATCCAACCTCTCCAATTGTCATTAAAATAAAATCTAGATAACATATAATCCAACAAGGACTAACTCAATAAATTACAAGCTTTCTCAAATCCACTTTAAGAATGTGACGTGGTTTTTTACTCTTCTTGGTAAGACCCACCAACTTATTATCAACAACTACCCCATCCACTAAGATCATACCTTTGAGAAAGACTGACTGGTTATGAGAGATGAGTTTATCCATAACACCTCAAATCCTACCCACCAAAACTTTAGCAAGAAGCTTATAAAGAAATCCAACCAGAGAGATAAGTATGAAATCCCCCCATTTGACAGGTTGAATCAACCTTAAGGATCAAGGTAACAAAATACGAGGAAAAACCATGATGGAGAGAAGCAAATTGATGGAACTGCTCAAACATAATCCCGACGTCTTTCCTAAGAAGTGTCCAAGACCTCCTAATAAAGGAAAAATTGAACCCGTCAAGTTCCAAAATCTTATTACCATCACATAAGGATATTACTAATCAATATCAAATAGAAGGAAGGGGGCCGCATACCAGAGCTCCCGTCCTTAGAGAGGGAAGGGAAAAAACCCCATCTAGTCTAGGAAGATTAAAGAGAGGTTCTTTAAAGTGGTTGGATAAATAATTAACCACCTCCTAACGAATCTAGCAGGACCACCTTCCCACTGAGACTTACAAATCTATTTCTCCAGTAAGCTAATCTCTTAGAGACTAGCTTAACTGGAGGATCCAAAGTCTTTTTCTTCCTAGGGTTTGCACCCACCAGAAGTCCTAAATACTTAAAGGGAAGAGTATCCGCCTTGCAATGCAAATACTTCTCAACCATATCCATAAAATGCCTACCCACATTAACCCTAAATATATAACTCTTGGAAAAATTCACGTTAAGGACCGAGGCAAGCTCGACACTTATGAAAACCGCTTTAATAGGAAAAATATTGTCAACCGATGGAACCTCTACAAACACTATATCATCAACATATTGGGTATGGGGGAACTTGTAACCCTTCAACAACACCAACTGAGACCATATTTTTCAAAGAAACACTAAGGCTTTCAACAACCGAAAGAAAGAGGAAGGGTGCTAAGGGGCCTCATTACTTCTGACCCATTTGGATTCTGATCACCTTTGTTCGACACACATTCACTAGCACAAAAAGACTCCTCAAAAAGACACAAGCTTTAATTCAACCCTCCAGCTACCATCAAACCCAAATCTCACAAGCAAGTAGTCTAGGAAACACCCACTAACAAAATCATAAGTCTTCTCAAAATCTACTTTAAACATAAAATACTCTCTTTTAGAGATCCTGACAAGATCTAAAGCCCTATTCATAATGACCACACCGTCCACCAAATATCTTCTCTTAACAAAATGTGACTTTTCTTAGGAGAATAAATCTTCCATTACCTTTGTCACCCTCACAGCCAATACCTCAGCCACCAATTTATACAAAACACCAAGAAAAAAAAATATCTAAAATCTCTCAAAGCCAAAAAATAATCTTCACACTAAAGGAAAAATAATCTTCAGACTAAGGACAACACATTTATTTGAAATTTTTATAGAATATATTAATGACACTTATTTATCAAAATTGATAAAATAAACATTACTCTCTTCTTTTTTTTTTTCTAAAAGTTTTTTAAATTATTATGTATATAACAATAATCAATAAATTTTATTATTTTTAATATAATTATTCCCACCTTTAATATAATATGCTTAATTATTTTTATTATTTTTATTTAAATTTAATCAATATCTTTCTACAATAAATAGTAAAAAAATTATATTTTTTATTCTATTGAACATGAAAATGACAAATCAATAAAAGAAAAACTTTAAGGTTAAATATCTTTGTCATTCCTCTAAATATTTTATATTTTATTTTTATAGTTTACTTTTAGTTTTTAGAGTTTTTTTTTAAAAGGATCTTTTTAAATATTTTTATCTATATTTGTGATCCTTCCTACAACTTAATGACAATTTCTACAACTTAACGATAAAATTAACTAGTGTTTTAACAATAACTTTAATTTAATAACAATTTTAACGATGATTTTAATAAGAGAAACCAAAAGTGTGGATGAAATTTTTTAAAAAGATCATTATTCAAATAAATTTTTTTATAGAAACTATAACAAAATTTAAATAATTTATTTAGAAAACAAAACCATATTTAACCCAAAAATTTATACCAATTATTACTACTAGTAAAATTTTATTTTTAAAATTTATTAACTAATCAATGATCAAATTATTTCATAAATTTTAAAAAATTAAATTTTTATTTATAATAATAACAATAATTAGAGTAGTATGTAGAAGAAGCCATAGATTAAGCAACAATATTTTACAAACTTGACCAATATTTTAGGCTTATATCTCTCCATTTTAATTAGCAACAAACCTACGCCACTGCTTTTCCAATGTAATTGTTTTGTTCAAATCCAACATCTCTCTCTCTCCCCTTCATTTATGGTCCCTTTCTATCCCTTTATATCTCTCTTATCACTTTCTCCATTTCTTCATATTCATACCTATACCTTTTAAACTCAACTCCTTTTCTCCACTATATAACTTGTCTTCTGTTTCTTAATTTCCAACCATTTGTATCATCTTGGTTATATTATAAATAGAAATCTAGTTAAATATAATATTATGTCTAGCAGAAGGTCAAGACAACAATCTTCTTCTTCAAGAATTTCTGATGACCAAATCATCGAACTTGTTTCTAAGTTGCGTCAACTTGTTCCTGAAATTCGTCATAGGCGTTCAGACAAGGTATTTTCAAAACCACATTTATTTTTCATTCTTTTTTTTAAACACTTTTTACTATAATAAACAATGTTACTATTTAGTGTTCATCTATAATTTGAAACATAATATACAATATAGTAATTATTTTTATATAATATAGTGTCAATACACATATATATTTAATATATTATATCACCAACTAACTCATATGAGTTGAAATAATTTACTCACCCAACTCACGCGATTGTATATTTTCAAATAAAAAAAAATTATAAATAAAATTTATTAATTTTAGTATAATTTTATGAATTTTAAAATGAATAATTTTTTTTTTGACAAATTTAAAATGAATATCTTAAAATCTGCTTTAAACCTCAATGTGGTTGACTGTCCTTTCTCTTAGTTTTATATAAAATTACCTCAAAGAAGTGTGTGAATTTTATTAAAAAAATCATAGTGTAAAAACTGAAAATTATATTATATAAATTAAAAAATATAATAAAATATTTATACAAATAGTATTTAACAATTTGGTCAACCAGACCAGTCATGGTCAAACTTAGGAAGATATAGGACCAAACTATTCCCAATCACACCGACTTGTACCTGTATCTTTGCTTTCAATGATGAATAATGAAAAATAACAAAGAGTTTTGGTACGCCATATATTTTAAATATTGCAAAACAATAATAATAAAGGTAATGTAGAACCCAAGAAAGGGAAATATAGAATTAAAAATATATCAAAACCCTTATAAAAAAACATGTGAGAAAGGACATCATATATAGAAATAGAAGAAAGAAAGTGACTCTCATACTAACTAATTTTATTTTGCAGGTATCAGCATCTAAGGTCCTACAAGAGACTTGTAACTACATAAGAAACTTACACAGAGAAGTTGATGATTTAAGTGAAAGATTGTCTCAGTTATTGGTTACAATTGATGCTGATAGTCCAGAGGCTAATATTATAAGAAGCTTAATTAATCAATGATTAAGATATAGTTATCTAATCTTAAATATATATATTATATATTTATTTATAAGAGTGTAGTTTGTTTTAATTTGGTGGGCTAGCTATAGTGTAGTTTGAGGTGTGCATTTTGAATATCAAGTTTTTGTAATTTTAATTAAGGACTTTGAATTATAGCTATAATGCTATATATCCATGTGCCATGTTTATAGATGGCCAAAATGTATCTGTTGTTAAATCTATTGATTAAGGTTATATAATTAGCTATGTGTTCCTTATTAATCACTTCAGTTGGTAGTAGAACACAAAAATACATATTAGATAAGCCTAACTTGTTATACAAGAAATCTTTTGATATATTTTCATGAATAAAATCAAACCAAGTAAATTTTTTTAGATGCATAACCAAAAGTTGCCTTATGTGATTTATCATGAAGTTCATTGATTAAGAGATGAGAATGCAATTCAACAATCTGATTTTTATGCGCCGGCCAATATACCATAGAAGCGTAAAAGAAAACTTTAATCATCATTGAATCCGATTCCAACTAAATTTATTTCCAATTTCTCTCATAAGCCAATTCAATAGCCACCATGTCAGTTTTTACTAGGCATGCATTTCCTTGACCAATAAAGGAAGAAAACTTAGTCCATATGTTACATCATATCATTTCTAAAGATGTCCCAACAAACACAAAGGGAGGTAATCCTTAAAGTTATGCCATCAATGTTAAACTTGAGCCGACTAAGAGATGGAGGTTGCCAAAGAACATCAATGTTGTATTTAATATTATGAGGATGGATGTTGATATAAAATTGCTTAAGAATGCTAAAATTTAAGATGGAAGAGTTTAACATGGATGAGTGAGAAAAAGATGTTGATACTAGAAATCAAAGTCAAATTATTTAGAACGTGTCATTCTAATTTATTTTTAAAAAAATAAATCATATCCGTCAGTTATATAGAAAATCGATTGAAAATGTAGTTCATAGTTTGAGCTTTGATTCTCATCTCCTACATTTCTATACTTTATTTATGTTAGTTCTATGTTTTTGAGATTGACAATAATTTTGTTAAAACATGTATCTCAGCAAGATGTTGTGCAAGATATCTTGACATGCTGGTTAAACATCACTGTAGAGATGTTGAACACGATGTTGTGACATGTTGGTTCGGACATTAGTGCATGTTTAGGTTTTACTTCTTGGAATATTTGTTTTTAAAATATGAGATTTTGTATTGTTTTAGTTCTCATATTGTTGCAGACCAATGAGGGTTATTTTAGGAACATTGATTCTATCTCAGAAGTGCTTTTGTTTCATAAAAATGAACTTGAAGAGTTTTTAGGAAATATTCTATTTTGTTCCTATTTTTAAGCATAAGCTTTGCAACTGCTATTTTGGATGTACGTTTTATTTGAAAGAAGAGTCCAAAGTCCATGCTTCTCATTAGCTATATAAATGACCATTTTAAACCTTATTCAATTAGCTAAGTCGTACATGTGAGAGTATTTTTTTAGGGTTTAGTTTGTTCTTTATTTTTTGTGATTCACTCTATAGTAGAGTTGGATTGCATTTATTGTGAGTTATTCATGTATCTCTTGGATGTTTGAATTAGAATTTATTTGAGTTGTAATTGTAAATCACCCATAAGCTTTTAAATAAGAATGAATTTTATGTGTTTGGAAGAATGTCTTCTATTTTCATTGTTTAGTTTGTCATCACTGTTGTCTGATTGAAGGGAAGTGAGACGGGTCTCACATCTAGGAGTGTCTTAGATAGAAATAACATGAGTAGTGATTAGGTGCGAAGATTGTAAATCAGAGGTTGTTTACTTCGGCTTCAAACTAATACTATTATAGTGGATTTCCTTACTGGCTTGGATGCCCCCAAATGTAGGTGATGTTGCACTGAACTAGGTTAACAATTATCAGTGATATTTATTTTTAGTTGTTTACTTTAACTGCATAATTGTTTTGTGGTGTATGACTGATCTAATATTAGTGTCGTAACATCTAGTTTGACATCTGATATATGTATACCATAATTTCAATTGGCATCAGAGTAGACATCATGTTCTGTTTTGGGTGAGCTCTAGGGAAGATACTTTCTAGTATCATGGGAAAGGAAGAAGGATTCAATAACAGACCACCAATCTTAGATGGAACGAACTATGACTATTAGAAGGTTCGTATGGAGGCATTCCTAAAATCTATAAATAGTAGAACTTGGAAAGCTGTCATAAAAGGTTGGGACCTGTTGTAACTGGTTTTAAATTGAGAGTCACCACCCTTAATTTTTATCTTTGAGAAGGGAATATAAAGGATTACGCTAATGTGGTCAAAGATTCTAAATTATTGACTCGTTTTTAGATGAAGGGAAGGTGTTTGACACCCCTCATCTACCTTGTTCATAAGGATACTAGGGTTTAGAATTGCGACTTAGAAAATAAGGTTTTAATTTTGATTAGGGGAACTCGTCACGATTTTAGTCGTATGCCTATGTATCCTCTTATGAGGAATCAAAGTCTCAATTCGTAGTTCGCAGTGGATTGATATTTTTTATGGATCACGAAGATGTTTTCAATTTACCTTGTACTAAGTCTAGGTGTGGGAATAGTGTAATTATTAGACGAAGTTCGCAGTTGATTTAAAAGCATCCTCATAATCCTTTTCGAAAATTATTTAAAATTAATTAAGTTATTAAAAAAAGATTTGGTGTTGGTTAGGTTTTTTTTAAATGTATTAATACATAAAAATCTTTTTAATGCATGGCAAAAATAATTTAATGCAATAAAAATATTTGGATGGATTAGAAAATAAACATTTGATTTTTTAATAACAATTTTAGAATTTATAGATTTATTAAATTATAAAAAATAATTATTATAAATAATAAAAGTAATAAAAGAAATTTAATAAAAAATGCAGGGGGTGTATTTCATTTGGGTTAAGTAAATAAGGGGGTATGTAAATATGGCCCTGAATTCAGATGTTGAATTCAGGCCCAAATGCAGGAGGGAGTGAATAATTGTACAGGGCAGTAAAAATTGGGGTTTGTTCAGCAAGGGCCCTAAGTTCAAATATTGAACTGGGCCTAGTAGCGCAGGGGGAGGGGTGGGAATTACGTTGGCATAATAAAAACAAAAAGAAGGGACGTGAATATCATGGGCTTAGGCCCAAAACAACATAGGATCCTCTAATCAAGGTGTGGGATAGACCATGGAATCACGATGGATGTGAGCTTATGGGACGTTGGATTATAATCAGAGGACGCATAACAAGGGTGCATGACCAGGGCGCGTGGTAGTGAAAGCATAGGATCTACGAGGCTTATATAAACAAAATAATGGGTTGAGAGCCCATTTTTATTTTATCTCCCTCTCTCTACAATGAACAACAAACCCTTTATCAATTCTAGAGAGAGAGGCTCTGCCTTCTCTCTAAAATTCCACTGCGTCGGAAATCGGGCAGCCGACGGTCACCATTGTAGGCCACCACCAACCACCATTCCATCTCAGTTTTTCGATTGACATTCAACCGAAAACTTCAAACATTCATACGCCTCTTTGTGGATCTTCATATGGGTTCTATGAACCCCAAGAACCCTAAGGGTTCATGATGAACCATGACCAAATAAAAACCCAGAACACACAACTACTATGAACCCTAACCCTGATCTTCAAACAACCCTAAGAATCCTAACCCTATGATCTAAGAACCCAAACGCTAGGTTAGAATCCTAACCCTAGAAACCCAAAATATTCCAGAATCGCAACAATCAAACATCAGTCATGCAAGCGTTCAACAATAATAAAAAAACCTAAGCTAAGTGTTTTAGATTACCTCTCTTGTAGTAAAACGGGTCGTATACTTTTCCTTTCTGGTTCTTCGTTTCTCTTTCTAATCTCCTTCTCCTTTCTTTGTCTTGCAGGTACGCCAGATGACGATAGCAATGAAGGTGTGGCGTTGGTGAATCTCACAAATCTAGGGTTTCAGATTTTGAAACCAAGATCTTGATGAAGACTGCTTCAGTTGGGGACTCGAGACTGCAAGCCTCTTTCTCTTCTTCCTTTGTATATTTCTCCTTTTCTTTAGAACTTCTTAGGTTTATTTATAGTTAGGTTTTAGATTCAAATTAGGAAATTATCGGTAATTGTCATTATATTCATTAATTGAATTTGGAATTAGGAAGATTTTAAATTTGTTTGTGAAAGTTGTGATTTATGAGATTTGATTTATTTATGTATTTGTGTAATTTTTGGACGATTTGGTCTGTAATGGAAAGATATGATTTAGATTATATTTTATTTAGTCTAAGCTGATTTTATGCGATTTTGATTAGTTTTAATTTCAAATATGTTTTCTTTTGTTTAATCTATATAATGTACATTTCTCGGGCTTTGGGCCTGTGTATTCTTGATGAAGAACAACAGATAGGGAATATGGGTTGAAAACCATAATTTTGGTTTTGTTGACCCTAGTCAATGTTTCAAATAATATTTTTTTACTTAATAAATAATAACGTTATTAATAATTTAAAACTTAATTATGGAAATTTGCAAATAAAAGGATTTTAAACAACAAAGTTGACTTCAGTCAACAGTCTTAGCACGATGGGTTCCAAAAAGAAAATGGGTCAACCATTCAATGGACCTATCTACTAAAAATTGAAGATACAAGTTTTTAAGAAACGTACACTACCTTTCTATTTTGAATCGGGCCAGCAGAATTGTCTTAATGGGCCATCAGATTTTCATGGTCCATTTATGACAATGTAACCCCTTTCTATTAATTAGTAAAATTTTAACAAAGCTTAATGAGCCTATCTCTTAACATAAATCAAAATAATCCTTAATGAACCTAAATGAATATACCCCATAGTGAGCTTAGAAACTAAATACACCCCCTCTTTACTTGTATAAACTATCGAGTAGATTATCAACTCCACATGGGCCTTTCTGATTTAGAAAGCCCATAAACCCCTTTATAATAAACATCTCCGATTTAAGGTTTTAACCC